GTCAGTCATTTCCACCGGATGACGTCAGAATCAATAATGAAGTCCGCATAGAGGCCAACTTCAAAACAAGTTGTAGGTGGGTATAGTGCTCTGGTTCTATACATGGTATCATGCCGTACCGCATTATCCATGTCTGCCTCGAGAAAAGGTTTCGTGACAAGTAGTGAGTCATATGAGCACACAAGCCTATCAACAATTGTTCCACAGCATATTTTCTCAATGTTTATTAACTTTTACCTGCACTTCGAAGGTGCGGACAGTATTCCTCGAACGTGAGGACCGTATCCCTTCTAAAGGAGGCTGTGGTCAGACGAGTCTTTCGACTGCCCTCTGTCGTGAGTGCAGAGAGTTGCTGACAATTTCGAAACATAATCTTGAGTTTCGTAAACTTCTATTCTCCGGAATTCTCAAATGTGAGGGAGCTCCGTAGATGGCCAATATTGAACCCAAAAAACGTTTTGAAGCGTTAGGACGCACTTCGTGGATAAGCGAAACGAGCGCATGTATCAAGAACTTGAACCCTCATGATATGCCTACCGCTCCGCCATCCTAGCAGCCATGTAACCGTTGTAACGGCTTTGCTTGGTTCAATGATCTGTTCGTTGCAGTGGATAACACAGAAAGGAATTGGTCTTATAATTTTGTTCCCATAATTGTCTAGCAGATTTGGATCAGAGATTTAAGATCAGCGTTCGAAACTAACTACGGCGGATACATCTCACCTTGAGTGGCCACTGCTACCAAATATCCGTGCCTTTTAGTCGCGCTGTTGATCAAGCACCCGACCTTACAGATACCTTCTACGTCCTTTCCAAGTCTAAAGGGAACCCAAGTGTATCATGATCGGAATGATAACTAACCAACTTAGCTCACGTTCTTGACTTCGCCTGGAAACAGCTCTTAACGTCTGAAATCTAAACTACAGCAAATGAATACCAAGTCAAGCAAACATTTTCCATTTGAGAAGTGTTCAAGTGTTTCCCGGTTCACAGTTTTTCTTTTCGAAGGTTGTTCGGTTAATGAGCGCAACTACCTAGATTGGACTTCAAACAACAAGATGACTACTGCAGAATTGATCGTTAGATTCGTAGACTACTACTCGACGTTCGACGCTTCGCAGAACGCCATTTACATCGAGAAAGGACTTGCAGCTCGGAGGTCGCTTGTGCTTCTTGATGATTTGATAGAAAAAATAAGTATATGTTTACATAACATATAGAGTAAATTTATAACACATAATCTAGGATTTTGAGAATTTTTGCAAATGAAGTATTCATACAATACGATTTGAAGAAAATCGAGATCTGATGGAATCATATTTTTCGAAGATCATATGTGGTAGAGGATGCCTGATCATGCATTAGCAGTTTCAGAAAGCAAGTATCTGGGGATATTCACCTGCTGTTGTTGGATCCTTATTCGAGAACAACAGTTTGTCGCTCAGGTATTGCCGCTAAAGCGTTTGCTGATAGCATGCAGTATCTCAGAAGAAAAATGGTACATGGTTAGTTCCTGTCTTCATAACTTTAATGATGGATATTCAATGTAGCGAACTATCTTCATAATTCAGTGAAGTTAAGGTCAGTTTTTGGACTCGTTCCCCACATTTCCGGAAGCTACTTTATTCAAAGCGCAGACGAAATGGGTATCGTGGCGTATCCACGCTAGGGAGAAGAAAGCAACGATTGACAACCCGGGATCAAAAAATTAAAGGATTAGTCAGTAGTCATAACAATCGTGGCACGACCGTTGATGAAGTTGGCCAAAATTCGTTCAATGTGCCAGTGAGGCTCTGTATGCCAAGTTGTATTTTGTATTGATTCTTTCTGTTACCAAAGGGTACTGTTGTGTATAGTCGTGATTTATAAGATAAAGATTTTTTTCGCATTTAAAGCTCCAACTAAATGTTCGGCCAGAATTTCAAGAATGTTTAGGTGTCTACAATATCTCGGAGATAATAACACTATCAGCGATGCAGTTTGAATCATTAAATCCGCTCATTGAAGTGTT